AAAAGATTTGGAACATGAAAAACTGTCCAGGAGGACATTTTTAATTTAAGTTTTAATGTTGGCCAGTTCTTTACTTTCTCCCATGTTATTGGTCCTTGTCTATCTAATCTACTTAAGTAATGTAACAAAGTATTTGTACTTTGTTAATCCCCACCCCTGGATGGTATTTATACTTCTACTCCACTACATTTATATGACAGCTGGAGATACTAGTTACCTATTATTAAAACAAATAATAATCTATATGTATTCACTATGAATTAGAGCACTTAAAGGCCAACCTTTACAAGCTGCAACATTTGAATGGTGCTTAATGCATCGATAATCATCTAATATAAATACTTAAAATTGACAATTTTTCACAAACAATACTTTCCAGTTTACTCAGACAGTTGATAAGCAGGTTTCTATTTAAGCAGAAAACCAGACTCTCAGGTAATAATCCAGGCCAGGTACTCATCCTCTTACACAACAAAGTCTACACCTTTATTTGTTTTGTCTTCAGGGTGACACCAGGAAACTGCTGCTGCTCATTAATGTCATATTCACGGAAATGATAGGGAGGAAATCAGGCCTGAAGAGGAAGTATGCTAATATTTTGGGCCGAGGAGCCTGCGGGTCTCTGGGTCCTAACGCCAAAACATTCAGGAGGGAACGTTACATTATATAATTAGTTACATCATACTCAAGTAGAAATACTGTATTATAAGTGAGATTTCTTCTATCAAATATAACAAGGTTTACTGTTTTAAAACAGCACTGACAGGCCACGACTGTTTCCGGAAAATTATTTTATAATGAATAAGCCATACTAAATTATATCAGTTCCTCTACAGAACAGCGATGATGTCTGACTAATAAATATTCGTTTTCTTAAATATGAAATAGTTAAATACAAGATAATAAGGTTCAAACTTCAGGGCCGGTTTCTAACATTATGCCATCGTAATGTACGAAAGGAGGTTAACAATTTAAAGTGTATTTCAGTTCACCACCACCAAATATTCACAGCATCAACAAATACAGAACATATACAAAAATAGAATTAAAAGCAGGGTAGTTCATCCATATAAAAGAAAGGAAGTGGCCACTGAATAAACCGCATCTTAACGTGGAGATAAAATTACTGATTTTATAGGTTGTTGAAAAAGTTCAAAATTGATCTACACTATAATAAACCAGGGTTCATGAATTACTTCTGATTTACTGGCAGGTTTGAAGCACAGCATGCTCACACAAATTCCCCAAATTATAGTGATAGTTGGGATCATGACGCTTCCTTAGTCACACATTGTATCCAGTGACAAATTAATCAAACACACAAGTCAAATGTCATTTACAAAAAAAAAGGCATTTTAAATGATTCTTAAACAGTTTATTAGAAAGATGTAGACAATAAAAAAAGAATTTCCACTGTAAGTCAACATTACTTGTCTCCCCTTACATTTTATTTGACAGTGCAAATATAATTTGGTCATTACACGGCACCACATCGTTGCAACACGTCCTCACCAACGAGAGGGGGATCTATTCTAGATGAACATGGAAAGAACCTGGAGAATAGCAACAAACCACATAAAGTTGAATGAACCTCAAGCCTCTTTTAACAGCGTCAAAACATTTCACCTTGCTGCTGCAGTCTAACATGGGAGCGTGTCAGGTGGGTATGTAGCGAAGAACTGTCAAGATACTAAATATGTGAAATTCATTCAGATTACCAACGCAGGTGACCACTGGGAAGATGCAAATGTTTCTGCAATGGTTTCAGAAACGAGAAGTAAAGGGAAACATGTAAGCTGGAAGGTTAAGCTACAGAAACAGAGACTGACTTCCTGGATATCTAATTCACGTCACATGGAAGGCTTTGGAGGAACCAAATCGATAAATCAATGGAACTAATTCTTTTGATGCACACATCTAGTGTTTGACTTAAATCATGAGGGAAAACTTCACTGGTCGACTTACTTAAAACCACAACATTTGGAATGGGTGGGCCTAATTATCTGAAACCACAATTAATTTGAAAACACATATTGCTCAGTTGAGGACAACTATACAGCTTTTCCAACAAATAATGTGTGCTTAGTTGTAATATTTAACAGTAAAACAAGATACCCGAAAAGGTGCAGTACAGCAAATGGAAGTGGAGATAGCTGCTCTGTACAATACCATGCATATCAACCTTCAGTGGACTGATCAGTCAAGAGTTTGGAGCTGAGAATATGGTTTTAAATATGACTACTGACTCGTATGTACAGTTGTTTGTCACTGCCTTCAATTTTAGATATACATTTGTTTAAGATTCCTCTTGCCCTCTGTTCTTCCATTTTCAATCCAGAGTCTCTGTCTTCTATTCCAAATCTGGCATTTCTGAAAGTGATAGAAACAAACTGTCTTACACACACGAAAGCACTCATTTATAAAACTTGTATTATCACCATTATATACACAGCTAGAATTTCATTCATTACACTTACTTTCATCATCACTATCTGCAGACTCATCCTAAAAAGACAAAAAGATAGAAGGTTGAAAAATCACCTGACAAGAACAATCTAGACACTGAATATCATCATATCATATATTTACATATATTTATATTTACTTGTGATTATCACTAAACTGCTATGAAATAAAGCCAAAGTAAAAAAATTCTTACGTCATCTGGACCTTCGAGATCAAGGTCCTCCTCTCCTCCCATGTTGTTCATCAGCTGTAATATTACACCATCAATGTTAAAGCCAAGTAAACGTCAAATATTTTACATCTTTAGATTTGGTTAAGGTTCGTAAATCAATCTTTGCAGAATTGTAAATTCTAATCTTAATGAGTAGAACTAGCCAATGCTAGAGTGTAGATTTATTGCAATGATTGCCAATTCAAGACCTGGTGCTGGTTTCTACCCTATTGATTTTTAAATTATTATTCTTTGGGCATTTACACAGGAACTGAGGGAAACAGAGGTGTAGAATGACAAATGATCCTGAAAGGATGAAAACAGCTAACGATGCCGTTCAAGATCCGTGTCACAAACCCTTAATTAACCAAAACACCAGGCTCCCCAATTATTCTTTGTTCCATCTTAAACTGGTCCCTCACCCGTATACAGATTTGGTCAATTTCATGCCAAGAGGGCAATAGTCAGTTGTTATATTG